AGACATTGGTGGGCTTTTCCTGGTTGAGGATATTTTTGACACAGGTTTGTGCTTCTGGCTGGTTGATGTTTGGAGAGGGATAGTTGATGGTAAGACATGAGGTTTATTAGATGTTAAGGAAGCAAATTATGACTCTAAAATTCTTTAATTTTTCCTGGAGAGTTTTGGGTAGGAAATCGGCTCCTGTGACACAGATACTTTTGCCTGGATTGCTGGTCAGGGTACATTTGTTGATTGGCAGCAGCGGCCTGTATTTGTGGTATGTTCTGGTAATCAAGGTAAGAATGATGGTCTGAGCCAGCAGCGGTGGAGGGAAAGGAGAAATAGGAGACTAGTGATACCTCTCAGTTTTCAGGGTGGAGTGCCCAGGCAGTTGTTAGTAACATTCTCCCGGTTAGTAAATTCATGAGGTTGGGGATTTGCCAAGGAGAAGATCCCCAAGGGACACTCACATGTAGAAGCCCCACACATGGATGTATATGTAAGCTGAAGCTCCAAGGGATGCTGGACTGAATTGAAAGCCTTGAGGAACTTTGACATAAAGCATTGGCATCTCAAGCTCATCATATTTGAAGATAGTTTAGATCAAAAACCACAAAAGGATGTAGCAGAGATTAGAACATAGCCAGTGATGGAACTCTGAGAGGGATGATTGAAGGACAAGCCTTGGAAGGAGACTGAATTGAAATGGTCAGAGAGATGAGAGAAAAGCAGGAAGAGAGCCCCTTACAGAGACCCAATTTTGAAGAGGGTTCAAGTGGCATTGTTGGGATTCAACAGAGTTCAAGTGAGGTAAGCACAGAGGTGGCTATTGTGTAACACAGGAAGCCACTGGCCCCTGTGTGAAAGTCTTCCAGGACAGTGCAGGGGAGGCCTAGTGCTCACTGTGCTGACAGATAGCTGGATGAGAAGTTGGAGGTGACTGCTTCAGGTGTCAGTTCCTGAAAACTGTGATGCCGTATCGGGTCATGTAACTGCATGTCAGAGTTCTCAAGGCTTTGGGAACAGCAATAGTTTTTCAAAATACAGAAACCAAAAATTAAAGCAAAGTCCAACCAGTACTGAATCCCTAGTATTTCTGGTTACACTCACCTACACTGTGTCATGTGACTTTACTGCTTCCTTGGTTCTGATCACACAGCATGGGCAATTTGCCCTGGCATGGTTGTTGTTATTGTTTGCCTTGTTTTTACTGTGCATCCATTTTTCTGCCCTCATAGTTATCAAATGTTTTAATTATGGGAACAAAGAATGTTTACTACCTTCATACTTCAGCATAATTGAGTTAGTTTATCTTTGATTTGTAGTGTGTAGAATGTATGATTTAAAAAATTGTTTGATTTACTGATGTAAGTTTCATAAAAGATCATTCCATAGATTTTGGCCTGGTATTAGGACAGATTCAGCAATTTCTGAAGTGGCGCTAAACATACTTCTGCCATTGTTTACTGAATATTTGTGTGAAGTGGCATGTCTAGTATTGATACTTATAAAATCAAAATATCAGTCAACTCTGAAAACATTAAAGATGCTCTACATCTGTGTCAAGGATGATTAAACTTTCAAGCAAGACTGAATTCTTTATGTAAAAATAAACACATTCATTTCATTATTATGCAAATTTACTTCATATAAATAAATAGTGAAATTATGTACATACTAAGAAATGTTCTAAAATACATTTGTAATGATTTATTATCAGTAAATATTTGATTTGTGTATCTGTTTTATGTGCTGCATATCCAGGGCAGTGTAAACCTTTTCTGGTGCACAGGGGTTGTGAGTGGAAATGTTTAAGAAGCTCCATGTAGATACTAAGTCTGTTCCTTCTTGAGAAAGAAAGAGATAAAGCCCTGAGAAGGAAGGGAGCTGCTACTGGATGGGATCGGCAAGAGAGAGGTGCTTTTGGGCTTAGTGAGAGAAATGTGGGTCTATGTTGTGCTGAAGTGACTGAGCCATGAGGCTTTGGACTAGGCAAAATGCAGCTTCCTCCTCTACTGACAGGATGAAGCAGGAAAGAATGGGCACCCATGTGGTTAAGAGTGCATGCTTAGAGGGTGGGATGAGAGTGGGAAGGATCCTGACTCCTTATCATAAAGAAGGTAAATGAATTAAACTTCAAAATAGACTGTTTTTTAAGATTTCACTATCTAGAAACTTCAATTGTTTCTAATCCTTTAAACCCCAGTGGAGGAAAAGTTATTACTTAATGGTAATGTACATCTTTACTTTTATTAGTCTTGGCAAAAGCTCATTTCCAGACTCTATGTACCATTTTTCATCTGTCAGAGGGCTTGCTCAAATTATATTCTTGTCATGGGCATTTTGGAGCTTGAGGACAACAGAAGTGTTTGCAGCATGAATTCTCAGTGCTGATTTTGACCATAGCGAAGTGGCTGTGAAGGCTGAAGGTCAAGGGTTTGATTGATTGGGTGATTAAAAATTTCTTTTCAAACAAATTAGATGTGGCAGATTTGCCACAGGTGAGAAGTACTACAAGGAAATGAATCTCATTAGCAGATAAAACTTCTAGGGTCATCAAAAAGGAAGTTTTGTGTTTTATACCCCCCCAACACACACCCACACACCCCCCCCCACACACCCATGATTGGCCTACATAGGAAGGCATACTTGGTATTGTACAATTCAGATATATGAAGCACAGTTGTTCTTTATGTTTATAAACATATGCAAGCACAAGATAAATGTGTTTTTATTTTTAATTTAGAGACTGGTACTTACCCTAGTGCTTGAGGTTAGCCATTCACTGTATTTGTCTTTATATTTGGGGTCTTTGAGGTTACTAGCTTTGTGATTAGGCACTTGGATTTGTGGTCCCTTGTTTAGGAGGAAGTGTTAGGGGATGGAAGGAAGTGTGCAAGCAGGAGAATTGTAGCATTTACTGAGCAAAGAGGAGAAGGGTGTGTGGGGTGGTGGGCTGAGGCAGTAGTCTGTGAAGAACACATACATCTGTTTTTCCGAATTTTAAATTTATTTTTGTTCTAAAGTTTAGATTTGTAGTCCATAAAGGGTAATGTTGTAGAATATTATTTTAAGGTGTGTTACTTTTGTTTATGTTGCATTTGTTTAACTCTGTGAAGCTGTGTTACTTTGTCTGTCTAAAACACCTGATGGTCTAATAAAGACCAGAATGGCCAATAGTGAGACAGGAGAGAGAAATAGGCAGGGCTGGCAGGCAGAGAGAGAATATATAGAAAGAGAAATCTGGGAGAGAAAAGAAGGAAGTAGCCACAGAAGGAGGAGGACTCCAGGGGCCAGCCACCCAGCTACACAGCAAGCCACAGAGTAAGAGTAAGATTTACAGAAGTAAGAGAATGGGAAAAGCCCAGAGGCAAAAGGTAGACAGGGTATTTTAAGTTAAGGAAAGCTGGCAAGTAACAAGCCAAGTTGAGGCTGGGCATTCATAAGTAATAATAAGACTCTGTGTGTGATTTATTTGGGAGCTGGGTGGCAGCCTCCTCAAAAAAGAGCAAAAACAAACGACAGGGTAAAAATGCAGTGTGCTGCTGGCTACCTGGGGATTGGTGTACTTGAGCCCTATTTTTATTTTTTTCTTGGGAATTTTATAATAAATACTTTTAAGAGCAACAATAGAAGCCGGCTGTTGGCGGTGCACACCTTTAATCCTAGCACTCAGTGGCAGAGGCAGGAGGATCTTTGTGAATTCAAAGCCAGCCTGATCTACAGAGAGAGTTCTAGGACAGCCTGGGCTACACAGAGAAATCCTGTCTTGAGGAGAAAACAAATCAATAGAATATAGTCTCTTGTGGGAGGCCATTTCCCACCTTTTCAAGGATTTATATGAGGAGGAGAGAGGGATAAGAAATATTAGAAAGAAAGATAGTGAAGAGGAGAAAGATAGCAACACAGGATAGCTTCGGGAGGACCTGGTTAAGTACCTAGTGGCCTTTTCCATTTATTCAAAAGGACTTTTTATAACAATGCCCAGGGGAGAGGCAAAAGACCTCCCCCTTGCTAGATCAAAGCACATCACACAGCCAAGTGTAGACCCTTCCAAACACCTGGTAACCACACCCGTGGTCAATTCATCCCCTTTTGCAGCCCTGCTGAGTAAAGCAAGCTCAGATTCTTGGACCCTGAGTAAGTGCCCACTAGGAAACCTCTGTGGGTGTCCACAGTCTCTCACTTGCTGTCAAGTAGAAGATTATAAGAGCAGGGAGCTTTCTTCTTTCCTTCCTCCTGTCAGATCTGTATGGTAGCTTTAACCTTTGAGTCTGTTTCTGAGATGATTGTTAGCAGGCAATTTAGGAATTAAAGTATGACAATCAGTTGTGTTCTCTCTAGTTAGCTTTATAGTGTGTAGATGTGTGGCTTCTTTGTCTTCTTCATTCCACTGCAGTGGATGTTTACACTAAAGGGTGTTTTCCTGAAAAAGAAGCCTAGTGCTGAAGTGGCTGCTCACAGAAGGCATACAACTCAAAGGTGGAGGATCAGTGTTTGCCTAGCCTTCAGTAAGGACTGCAGGGAGTCAGAGAGGCAGGCAGGTAAGATAGGAGCTGATATTGAGCTGTGTGGTAGCATATACTTTACAGCTTACATGTGTGGGGAATGGATAAAATCCTAAGGAAATGTATATTGTTGGCATAAGCATCGCCAAGTAAAGCACCCTAATGTTAATACCTTATCTAAGTGGAATTATGTAGCATTTGTCTTTTCATGAGTGGTTCATTTCATTTGGCATAGTATTTTCAAGGTCATCCATATTGTAGCATGTATTCGCAGTTTCCCTTTCTAGGCTGGTGAATGCTTCATTCTATATATACAATACATTTTGTTGCATGCATTTAATACATGCATCTTCTGATGGACTTATGCTTCTGTTTTTAACTATTGTAGATAATATGGCCATAACAATGCATTCCTGGTATCTTATTATATCCCTGCTTTTAGTCCTTATGTTCATACAATGCAATGTGGAACTTTTGGACCATATAATAAGATGGTGTTCAATTTTGCAGGCTCTTCTGTACTGTTTCCTTATGGTGGCTGTCTGATTTTTCAGTCCCACAAGCAAGTGCACAGGGGTTCCAGTCTCCACCTAGGAGGTAGGTACTATTGTCCTCAGTGTTAGAAAGCAGGAAGGAAGCAGAGAGAAGCTAAGTGACTGTCACACAGATGAAGTCAATTCATATGTGTAGGTCAGAATTTGCACTCACCATCCAGACTCCAGCATGATGTGCCATGACACACGGGTGTGAAAAGCACAGAGACCCAGTAGCAGATCCTGGATTCAGAGTCACAGCTGGGAGGGAAGCTACTGTTAGCCTTTACACTCTTTATGCTAAAAATGCTATTTAAAATAGAGTAATCTTTAAATATCATTATATGCCTTTTCCTCGACTCTCTGAATTTATACTTTAAAATGTTTCTTTTATTTAAAATATTATCTTAAAAAATGTCAGCAGTGTTTAGTTTTCTTTTTGACTTTCTTGAGTAAATTTTTTGTTTAAACCTTTTGAATAAATATGCATTGATTCTAGTGAATTTTAAAATATAGCTCTGCTCTATCCCTCTCTGTCAGAAGTTTGCTTTCAAATAAAACTAAATTAAGTATTCAAAGTCTATTTAAGCTGGGGAAGCCTGGAGGAGAGCAGTGGTAAACACTTGGGTTTCTTTTTATTCAGATAAAGTGAACTTACAGCTTTTATCCACAGAGGAAAAATAGGAAACATATTCATTCTTCTGCATTTATTTTGCTAAGAAAGTATTGGTTCTCTCCCTAAAAGGACACATGGGGTTATGTGCCTTTCAAAAATGCAGCCATGCCTAGGGGTGCTGGCCTGGTTCAGCTGGTGTGTTCTTGTCACAGGGTCTCCAGTACCTCACACTGATACTAAGGAGGATACATGAGGTCTCCCAGAGCTGGCCTCATTAGGTCTAACTTGTAAGCAGGAGGCTGGGTTGTACTCTGTCTTCAGCTTCTCTTACAGAGTTGAAAGGAGAGAAAAACATCCTATCCCAGTGCCCATGGCTCACATCCTGTTGAGATGCTACTTAGGCAGAAAACTTCCTAACATGCAGGAGGCTGAGTGCAATCCCAGTACTAAACAGAGAACCACATAGAAACAAACAGAGAGATACCAGGGTCTCATCCCCACTCTGACTGGTTTCATACTAAAAAAGCTTGCAATTTTAACATATGGTAAAGGTATTGGGGACTTGGCTATATTCTCCTTAACTTCTTTCTTATAGTTCTTTAGGTCTGTCTCAGTTAGGGTTTCTATTGTAGGTAGAGTTTTCCTGCCTGGCCCACAGTCAGGACAAATCTCTATCACCTGCCAGTCCCACAGCCGTCAGACCCAACCAAGTAAACACAGAGACTTATATTGGTTACAAACTGTATGGCCGTGGCTGGCTTCTTGCTAACTGTTCTTACAGCTTAAATTAATTCATTTCTATTAATCTATACCTTGCCACATGGCTCGTGGCTTACCGGCATCTTCACATGCTGTTTCTCATCGTGGCAGCTGGCAGTGTCTCTCTGACTCAGCCTTCCACTTCCCAGCTTTATTCTCCTCCTTGTCCCGCCTACACTTCCTGCCTAGCCAATGGCCAATCAGTGTTTTATTTAATGACTAATCAGCAACACATTTGCCATACAGAACATCCCACAGCACTTCCCCCCCCTTTTTTTTTCAAAAAGGAAGGTTTTAACCTTAACAAAGTAAAATTACATATAATTTGGGAATTTGGGCGTAGCTTCTCTTACTACTTCCTGCTGGAGGGGGACGCTGTATCTTATGGGGAAACAAAGAAAATTTTAGGATTATGGAATAGTCCATGAGGCTGTATCGTCTGAGCCAGTTGCCTTGAAACCATTCTGGATGTTGGATCATCTGGGCCATGGTGTCATAGGAGACCTTTCAGGGGGTCTTGGCTGGTCAAACCTGATGTATCTTAATCTGGAACAAATCCATAGCCTCTGGCTTTCTGTGGAAACAAAAGAGACTCTTTTCCAAAGCAACATATCCTTATATCCAAATTTTGAAGTCAAGGTATCTTTAAAATATCTATATTGGTTTAACTCAACAGCTTTTACAATCAAATGTTTTTCTGCAGTAAAAAATCCCAAAGACAACACAATCCAGATTCTCTGTGTAATATCCATTTTTACGTGGCTTATTTTTTATACTACCTTTACTGTCTCTTTAAAGACTTTATTTTTTAAAACTATGTATTTGTTTCTTTAACTCTATATATCACCTTTTTTGTCTCTTTCAAGCCTACGTATCTTTTACACACATTGTAAACTATTACATCTGAATCTGTCTTATTGTGAATCTGTGGCTTTAAACTGCAGCAGCTGTGGCTGCTGGCTCCACCCACCTCAGCTTCCCAACATGGTTACGTTTACCACCAGCTCTGGGAGCTATCATGGGTCTATGCTTTTATCCAAGCAGCGTACAGCCCAGAAACCTCTTTTTTTTGCTTTGTACCAGCAAAGTCTAAATCCACCATGCAGCTTAATGTGCCACTTGCAGAGGCCTCATTCCCACCATACTGCAGTTCGGGCACGCACTCTAGAAACCCACCAGTAGCTCAAACAGGCAGCTGCCGCTCATTTGAGAGAGACAATTAGGAAGCTGTTTTTAGCTCCGTTTTAGAATCTTTTTTTTTTTTTTTTTCAGTTTTTAGGTGGAAACTCTTGCCCCACGTTGGACGCCATTTGTAGGTAGAGTTTTCCTGCCTGGCCCACAGTCAGGACAAATCTCTATCACCTGCCAGTCCCACAGCCGTCAGACCCAACCAAGTAAACACAGAGACTTATATTGGTTACAAACTGTATGGCCGTGGCTGGCTTCTTGCTAACTGTTCTTACAGCTTAAATTAATTCATTTCTATTAATCTATACCTTGCCACATGGCTCGTGGCTTACCGGCATCTTCACATGCTGTTTCTCATCGTGGCAGCTGGCAGTGTCTCTCTGACTCAGCCTTCCACTTCCCAGCTTTATTCTCCTCCTTGTCCCGCCTACACTTCCTGCCTAGCCAATGGCCAATCAGTGTTTTATTTAATGACTAATCAGCAACACATTTGCCATACAGAACATCCCACAGCATTCTATTGCTGTGAAGAGACCCCACCACAACTCTTACAAAGGAAAACATTTAATTGGGACTGGCTCAGAGTCTTAGTCCATTATCATCATGGCAGGAAGTTTGGTGGCATGCAGGCAGCCATGTGCTGGAGAAGAAGCTGAGAGTTCTACATCTGGATCCACAAGCAGCTGGAAAGACTGCCACCCTGGGTGTGTCTTGAGCATCTGAGACCTCAGAGTCCACCCTCAGTGACACACTTCCTCTAACAAAGCCACACATGCTCCAATAAGACCATACCACCTAATAATGCCACCCGCTATGGGCCAAGCGTTCAAACACATGAGTCTATGGGGGCCATTTCTATTCAAACCATCATAAGGTCTTACTTAAATGTTTTACTATGATGAGTCACAAAAATGCCTATTCCCATGCTATCCTCATTAGCTGAGTTGCTGGGGTATATTCCTTACATAGGAAGGGAATCTCTTTTATTATTATTTGACTTATGCTACAAAATTACTCTTCTATCTTTGCTTTATTTAGCAGCTTGGGGATCCAGCCCTCAGTGCCACTATCCAGGGTTACTCAGAGAAATGCTTCTCAGAAGCAGGGATGGAAAGATTTCTATAATACCTTCACACACGACCTGAGGGTCATACTCTTTATTCTTTATTTTTTTGCTCTCTATTCTTCTATTTTCTAATTTTCTTTCTACAGCTTCAACTCCCTCTTGCTTCTTTGTTCACCTAGCTTAAATACATTTTTTTACAGGACGCTTGAAGCAATGAGAAAAAGTTACAAGAATTGCATCTCATTGGTCATAGCACATTCCTTGGGTAAACGATAAGGACAGAGCCATTTGCCATGGCGGTGTAAGGTTTCAAGGTTTCTGGTGTCAGACTGTGATCAGAGGCCAGGGGCACAGTGCCTGGTGAGACAAGCTGCGAGACATAGGTCTTTTATCAGCCAGACTTGGCAAGTGAAGAATTGGCATGATTTTTTAGGTTGCTTTGTGTTAATAACCTTGGTTAGACATCTGCAACTCTGACCTTGTACATATCTGTAAAGATTTTAACTTAGGATCCATTTACAGAGTCATTCAGTCTAGTTTGAAACTGTTCTGAGGTTTCAAATCAGCAAAATAGATGTAGCTTGTCTTAGATTGGGGAGAAATTGTTGCTTTCTTATGTCTGAATAAAAGAAACAAATCAGGCTTTAAGTGTCTTACAGTCCTTGTGGGACAATAGATCTAGTTATGAAGCATATTTTAGTATATTTCTATTCATCAAAATTATACAGCTTAATGAGAAGTCATCTTCCTGACCATCCACAAATATATGTGCCCATAAGATTGAGATGCAATCAAGAGATTACATACAGTTTGGTGGTGGAGGCACACGCCTTTAATCCCAGCACTCAGGAGGCAGAGGCAGGTGGATCTCTTTGAGTTCGAGGCCAGCCTGCCAGGACTTTTCCACAGAGAAACCCTATCTCAAAAAATTAAAAAAAAAAAAAAGATTACATATAGATGTCATATAAAATTAGTGCAGGATTGGGAAGATACCACAGTTGTTTTTGCACATGTGAAATTAAAGACAGGAGCAACTGTTTTCGGAGTTGGTGGCCTTGCAAGCCTTGCATGGCAGGGTTCCTCCATCAGGGAATCATTAGTCTGGTGGGTTGACATCTGAATTATCAATTACTATCTGCTGTAACTGTGTCATGGCCTGCAATAGCTAGTGGCATTGCTCCTGACAGCTTTAGTGCTGGTTGCTATAGCAGAAAGATTTAGTTCACTCTGTAGAGCCATGCACTCCAAAGTACAGAAGAAGGGCAGAGATTTGTCTGTCTAGATGTCAGCACAAGCTCTAGGTCACTGGTGGTGTATTAGTCAGGGTTCTCTAGAGGAACAGAATGTACAGAATGAATCTGTGTGTATGTGTGTGTGTATATACTTCTGTGAATGCTTGAATATATACACACAGAGACAGACAGACACAGACAGA